TACGTCTACATGAAGGACGGCGAGAAGCTGCTCGAGACGCTCGGCGGTCTCAAGCCCAACGAGGTCTTCTTCCGCCCGCACAACCTGCTCACCAGCGGCGACAAGACGCCGGCGCTGAAGTGGGGGAGCACCAACGTCTACACCGAGGACGAGAAAGGCCGACCGGTTTACGACTGGGAAGTGGTCGATCGGATCTTCGACACGCTGTTGGCGGCGGGCGTGAAGCCTTACGTCGAGATCGGTTTCATGCCCGAGGCGCTCTCCAGCCGGCCGGAGCCCTACCGCCACGAGTGGCGCCCGGGCCTGCCTTACAGCGACATCATGACCGGTTGGCGGTACCCGCCGGAGGACATGAAGGAGTGGGAGGAGCTCGTCTACCAACTCGCCACGCACTGCAAGGAGCGCTACGGCGCCGACGAGGCGGCGTCGTGGTACTGGGAGACCTGGAACGAGGCGAACATGCACCCCGGCGGCTACTGGGGCGGCACGCGCGACGAGTTCTTCGCCTTGCACGATCACACAGTAACGGCGGTGCGCCGCGCGCTGCCGACCGCACGGGTCGGCGGCCCGCACACGGCGGGCGACGGCGGCGACTTTACGCGGGCGTTCCTCGAGCACTGCTTGCGTGGCGAGAACAACGCCACCGGCGAGAAGGGGACGCCCCTCGACTTCATCGCCTTCCACGCCAAGGGCGCGCCGCGCTGGACGGCAGGGCAGGGGGAGGAGGGCCACATCCGCATGGGGATCGCCGAGCAGCTCGCGACGGTCGATCGTGGCTTTGGCATCGTCGCGTCGTTCGATGAGCTCAGGCAGACGCCGATCATCATCGGCGAGTATGACCCCGAGGGTTGCGCGGCCTGCCAGGGATCGCAGTTCAGCTACCGCAACGGGTCGGTCTACTCCAGCTACACCGCGGCCAGCTTCGCGCGGCTGTACGAACTCGAAGACAAGCACGGCGTGCGACTCGACGGCGCGCTGACGTGGGCCTTCGAGTTCGAGGACCAGCCCTACTTCGCCGGCTTCCGTCAGCTGGCCTCGAACGGCGTCCCGCTGCCGGTGCTGAACGTCTTCCGCATGCTGGCGAAGATGGGCGGCGAGCGCGTCGAAACCTCCAGCACTTCGCAAGTCGCGTTAGAAGCGATCGTCGAGCGCGGCGTCCGCGACAAGCCGGACGTCGGGTGCTTGGCGAGCCGCGACGGCGACCACCTGTGGGTGCTGCTCTGGCATTATCACGACGACGACGTCGCAGGCCCCGACTCCAAGGTCTCGCTGCGGCTCGAAGACGCCGATCGCTGCGAGGTCGAGGCGATGTGGCGCGTGGACCGAGATCGTTCGAACGCCTACGAGACGTGGATCGAGATGGGGTCTCCCGTCGCGCCCAATCGCGAGCAGTACCAGCAGCTGATGGCCGCGTCCGAACTGTACGAGGCGCCCAAGCCAGACACCGAAACGGACGACAACGCGACGTGCGAATTGACCCTCCCTCGCCAGGGAGTGGCTTTACTCAAGGTCGCGCTGGCGCGGCCGTAGCTTTTGCGGAACCGAGAGCGAAACGATGTGTTTCTTGAAGAGGACGAACGCCCGCCCCACGAGCGCGACGCGCTACGCCTGCGCCATCGCGTTACTGGCGCTCGTCACGCCGGCGGCGCTGGGGGTCGATCCGTTGTCGAACAAGCGCGGCTTCGCCGACGTCGGCGCGAGCTACAACTACCTCCAAGCTGCTAACGCGGGCTGGTACTACGGCTGGCGTCCCGATCAGCCGCCCGGCGCGGGCGGCTACGACGGCGAGTTCGTGCCGATGATCTTCGGCGCGTACCAAGCGAATCAGTTCGAGATCGATCGCATCCTCGGCTACGGCGACGTCGAATACGTCCTGGGCTTCAACGAGCCCGAACGGCCCGACCAAGCCAACATTACCGTCGATACCGCGATCAACGCTTGGCGGACGTTGTCCAATGGCTTCCAGGGGACCGACATCAAGCTGATC